GTACCACCAAAATCGACTCTTATATCCGTTCCTTTCAGTCATCTCAAGCCACTTGGGCTCGTATCTCTCTCCGTGTGCCGTCGACGCCGACATCCGGTCACGCCAACGTCACACTGTGCGGACGCGCTGGCGGCTTGAGGAGACCTCACGGCAACAGCATAGACCTGTCGGCATTGTTGTTGGCCGTCCAAAAAACCCTCCCTCGAGCCACGAAACCCTTACCGCTGCCGAGGAATCTGCGCACCCCACACCAAAAACTCGATGACTGCTCACTCAACACCCTGGTTAGGATATCCCTCTTGGGAACAATACATCCCCGAGGACATTATCTCAGGATCCGCTGCGATAAATCATTGAAGTCCGCGAGTTGGTAGTACATAAACTCATCCAGCTTCAACCATACAATGGTCGTGCATCATGAGTAGCTCTTTTTGAGCGGCTTTCATCTGCCATGGTCCAGAATCAGTATATTTGACATTTACCCAGACTCTTCCCATTCCCTCCGCCGTTGTGATATATTATGTTGAGCCAGATGAAACTGCAGAAAGAGACAAACAACTAAGGCTATCACTTATCTATTATTCTCCTCTTCATCATTAAGGAATCAGAGCCGTGAAGCTGCAACAAATCTGTGTGAAAGCATGTGTGACAACAGTGACCTCGGCATGACGGCAAATATTTCCGGGCGGCGACTATTCTGGCTCCTCAACTTCATTGTCAAATAGAACGATATGCTGGCAAGGAAAGATAAGCACAGAAGCTCTTCTAATGTTTTTTGCTGCTTACTCTGGACATTAATGAACCAGCTTTTTAAGAGTCGAAAGGATGTCCTTGTGGCGTAATGTGGACATTGGATGGCCACAATGATCCGGCCAAGGGTGAATGGCGATGAATGGTGAGCCGTTAAGCGCCGTAAATTTTGGGTGGGAGCGCTGGGTCTGGACCCTGGCCGAGGCCGAGACCCTGATGAGTCATTGACAAGCGTGAAACCACACCAAGATGTTACAGCAGGACAAGTCAATGATAATTGGCCTTGATGTTTATTACAGCTTAGGCTGGCATATTCATTAGTGGAACAGGGACCAGTGTAGAAATGTACACAATCTAGCCCAATCTGTATGAGGTTTGAACATGTCACAGACACGAACTGTGAACAGCCACCTGTTTACACAAGTTCATACATGTCTTCTGACTAAAAATACTAAGATCAGCTGGAAATCTGGAAATGCAGTGATTGCAGGAGGATTGATACCAGCGGGATAGAGGCCAACCATTCTGGTGGCAGATACGAGTCCCTCTCCCTGTTCTCACTGTATTTAGTGCTGTATTATAAAGCAGGTAACATTATACAAGACACTGTGATTCTATATAACTGTTTCTATTCAAAGTTACTAGACCCCAAAATATAAGGACCCTTAATACCAACGGTTGGGCAAGCTAATCCGTTTCTTGGAAGAAGGCGAGGTAGACTTTGATGAGGAAGAGGAGTCAGAGGATGAAGAATATGCTGATTCGGACAAAGGTAGTGACCAGTGGGATAGAGGCCGTCAAGCGGCAGATACGAGTCCCCAGTGTTTTGAACAGACTCAGCTACTTTTTGGGAACTGCAAGAGAGCATCCAAAGCAACATGCTGGATGCTGGAAAGGACTTGGAATCGACTGCGCAATCAATTTACTGGATTGCTGTGCATTTGAGGAGCTAGATGTAACTATAAGCAAGGGGGGTCCTCAGCCAGAGTTATGTGCCTTTCTCTGTGGTACGGCCTGTATGCGATCGGCTTTGTTTTGAGCTGGTTTTGAGCCGATTTAGAAGCGGATCAAATTCCAGTGGAACGACCGGGCCGAGCACTTTGCGGCAGCGGAGGACCCCTCGGGAGTCGGCTTCTAGTGTCCTCTACCTACTCAAATATTCTAGTAAATTGAGGGAATTTATCTAGAGCATGACAGCCAATTTTTGAAAATAGGCGGCTTGAGCTGCGGCAACACTACATCAACCACATCGCAATTACTGTAATCCATTGCCAGCGAGACAGAAGCAACGTGGCAATAACGTGGGATAATTGTCGTATCAGGTGGCCGGCCGTATTACCCCATTGGGATCTCCGATGCGGCTGTCCACAAAACTGCTCTGTTCCAACAAACGAGCCCACGTGACCGTGGGACTCGTAATCGTAGTCTTCGTCCACAGTTTTTCTTTATTGAGTGAACATTGATATTTTCAACAACTGATGTTTGCTTGCAACATTACAATCACCATGTAGCTGGCTGGAGACTAGAACGATCGCAAATGAAAGAAGCCACGACACAGGATGCTGTGCTGGGCACGTGCAAAAAGAAATGGAATGGTGAGACAACCTGATAAGTAATCTAGCTACACGAGGTCGCGTAAATGGTCTATAATCTAATCTAATCTACCAAGTCACGACGACAGTGAGGTATCCAGACGACACCGAGAGCAATTCACAGTCTGGGAAATATCATAAGTAAGATGATCACCGAAGGACTCGAGAGAAAGCTCACCTTTGCTGCTCCCCATATTTTGGTATCGATGAAAGAGATGTCTCAATATCGGGAAAAAGACCTGGTATCGCTCAACAAGGTTTGAGGTTAAACAAGATAACTTACAGAACGAACAATAGCACCTCAGATTGACAGTTGACAAAATTGGCATGAGGATAATTGGAAGGTGACATTGGTCTGGGTATGGCTTTCTGAGATGGAACAAGCAAAAGAGAAGGCGACGTACAAGTTGGTTGAAATCTCGAGTTGGGTCTTCAACTGGCTTGTCCTTGTCCATTTGACCATGGTTCTCTTACTCGTTCATCTCTGCTTCATTTGTCTGTCTTCCCCCTGGATCCAAGCTAAAGTCTTGCTTGTTGGTTGAACTGCGATGGTAGCCTAATGTCTCATTGCAGGAGCTACATTTTTTTCTCAGAAAGCGCTCGACGGAATATTAAACAAAGACATACCCAGGAGAAGACAAGGCGAACAGAGAGCCAGTTCGAGGAGAAGCGGGATCCCTCACCAATATCAGATGGTTCAGGTAAGGGAAATCGATAAAGGGAGGAGCATTGAGTCGCTCTGCTATGTTGACTGATGGATTGTCGACCAACAGCGTGAAAGGCGCTTGATGAAGGAGCATCGCTCGAGAATGTCCAATGGCTCGACGATGGGGAATAAGGAGAATCGTCAAGAGGAATGTCGCTGCCGAAGGAGCGACAGCGATGAACCAAATGAAAACCAAATAGTAAGCCCATTGACGAGCGAGCTGCTGAATGCTTAAACAATGCTGAAGAAACAGAAAAGAGGACTGTACCATAACCTAGATCTAACCTTTCTTCGACCCGAATCTTCATACTGACGCCACAATGGCGAAGAAGGAAAGAGGGATAGCAAGACAGGACAGAGTGAAGTCCAGGAAGGAGCAGCATATCGAAACAACAATAGAACTGCAAAATATGGTCAGCAAGGTGAAAGGGAAACCACGAAAGTAATCGCACCTGGATTCCCATGCGCCTAGATATTCCATGTCCAGCGGTAATCCTTCCAACTGGTGCACTGTCGAGGAGCAAATCTTTGGTCTTTGCATAGTCACACATCCCTCCTTCAATGACAATCGATGATCCTTGTCGCAGGACAGGCGTCACTGAAGACGAGGTGTCGTCATACCCTGATGCAACCAGACCCGAGATCCATACAGCGATGACAATGCTAATATTATCGATCCTGACATCGCTATTATCGATGCCAGAGAGCTGTGCTGAAGCAAAGCCTGCATATGATGTTAGAGGAATTAGCGCAGGCAAAACCATCACTGGCCGTATTGGAAATAGGAATTAATTGGAAGCCGAGATTATATCATCAAGATGAAAGAAAAGCCAGTATGGCAAGCATTCTCGGTACCTAGAAAAAGCTGTCAGACAATGAGACCATGCAGAGACATGGGCAAACCATTTCACTCCGAATGCAATGCAAAGGGCATACAAATCGCTGAACATTGAGGAGACAACGAGGTGGGGAACCAAGCAGGAAATAAGCGGTGGAAGAAAGATTCGGGAACATTTGGGGCCAGACGCTGCCACGTGGAGCCGCTATTTTAGGCTCAGCTATTCCTAGCTAGTGTGTTACTGACCCGGGTTTACTTATATTTTTTGGGTATTTCAGTCATTTCAATGCTTCAAATGGCCATCTACTGACTTTGTCAGAGGGACCAGTCACTCACGTCCTGCGGTGAACCAGTGAGCTAGCAAAATGCTGTTCAGAGACAAGGCACGATTCGGTGATCAGACAGAGAGATGGGAAAATACATCACGTGTCATTTCCCCGTTAGGGGAAATGATGATGGGATCCCAAAAATCGCTCTCATCTAACAAACGACTCCCATAGATGGGACTCGTAATCAGAGGGGTATCGAAATTCCACGGTGACTGAGAGTTCGAAAAATTTATCCAAAGAGAGAGTAAGTAATCATTCTGTGCTACATCACAGTGTCATCTGAGTAATCAGGCTTCAAATTGAAATATCATGCATAGAGACACCGGAGCGTCTGACTTATGTCTGATTCATCAAGTCAAAAGGACAGAAAATTGTTGAGGTTCAAAAAATTTAGGTGTATTGTATGCTAGAAAACTGTCTCTATTACATACATTGTTTCGCAGGATCTGGACCAACCTGGACAGACAGATTTGTCTCGGTCTGACTAGATGCAGCTAGGTGGCTGGTCTAGGTCTTTGTAGGCTTCTGGATATCCCAGCAATATTAGTCGCATGTTGCCTGAGAAATGGGGTTTCGCTGCTGGCTCTGATCGCGCCAGCAATGTGGCACATCAGACGATACTCCGGAGTACTTGGAGAACACAGCCGAAAATGCCAAAAACATTTACAATTGTAAAGTATCACCAGCCAATTGATCTATATCATTGTCAAAGAGATATGCTCTAGTCAGTCGCCGCTGCAAAATGGATCCACACACTACATGAATGCCGAGACCGAAGAGAAAAAGGGCCTGACCGGGAATTGAACCCGGGACCTCCTCGTGATTTGACGATAATATGGGCACCCAAACGAGGAATCATACGACTAGACCATCGGGCCACAGGGAGAGGACGGGTGTGGGATATATCATGTGGGCAGGGATGGATCACGTTCGGCAGTGATGTGAGTGAGTAATCTGATCTACAATTCTCTATCATTGACTAGTTACCTATGTGTGTGCCTGAAAATAAAAATATTAAAAAAATAAAAACTAAAAGCCCAAAAAAGGAAAGAGAAGAAAGAGAGAGATATCATCTACCTCTCCAATGATTTTCGAGACCAATGAGCACCTTTCGCAACCACCAACTTGTGGTCCGCCAACGTCACTGAGTAATTCTTGATGGACGGAAATGCCCTTGGCGGCACAGCCACCTGAGTTAGTGAATCCGAGCAGAAAATAAATTATTCTGCGACTCCCTGAGTGGATGGAGACCGGAAAATATTTGTGGAACTAGCTACATGTACTAGTATTCACCTGGTAATTCCCTGGTTTTATCATGGTATTATTTCTCAAATGAGGAGGAAATTCACTGACAGTTCACTAACACGCCGAAAATGGCAGGCGTGACTCTATGTGACATTATGTCACCCAGCGCAAAGAACCTCGCGCACAACGTGTACTATCACTGGTCAGTTACTCGGCCACCCCCAGGAAGTCGGTCACTTGCATTTTAAAGCTTTGCATATCATTATTTTCCATGTTTGTTGGTTGTAGGTTGTAGTATAGGTTAATATCTCAGTCTAGATCACTTTTGATGCATGTGTCATCATCGCAACGTGAGACACGGCTAATTCCGATGGCTGTCCAGCGTGACAGGTGACTTTTCTTAATGTCCGGTGACATCACCGAGCTCAATTGATTCACCCTGCCTTCAGTTCTCCGCCAAATCGCTTAGCGCGGGACCCGTTCAACTCTGCTGAAGCCCAGGAACATCTCAGGATACCCAGAACATCGAAAATTTGCTTTCAGCCCGATATCTTCTTCATACAAACCGTTAGCCGCCACTAGAGACAAAGGAATAGCACCACCTCTGTCTTGTGCTGACATTGGGCGCGGCGCTCACCTTGGCTGGTATGTCACCTCAATATGCCATTCTCTGATATATTCTGACCTCAATGCAATTTTTCCCTTTCTGATACCGTGTCATGGCCTCGACAACATTTCAAAGTGCCCGTTGTCCATGAACAAGGAAGACCCAATCTTTTTGGACCCTAAAGCTGCTCAGGGAGGAAATTCATGGCTCAGGTGTGTTGATATGCTATTCCTTTGTTGATTTGGAACTCAAGTCATGGCCGCAGCCCGTCTTGACAACTGTTCGCGCAGTTCCTTCCAACCCTGCCTTGAAATGCCCTTCATCCTTATAACTTTGGCTGTCTCTGGGGCACTGTTTTTTCCTTAAATACCAATTGAATATGATATAAAATACACATTTAGTTCATCGTTGAGCAAATGTAACAGTCGCAGCTTGTAAGCGTTCGTTGAAAATCTGTTTCGGATCATCGGCCGGGTAGCCGATAATTCCGCCTTTCGGACCCGCCGGCGTAAAATATTCACGGTGCCATCAAAACATTGCGTAAATTCACAAAAATGGGCGCAAATTGTAGCCAAGACGAATTACTATGGGATATGACCCAGAAAGTCATCACTGAATATCATGGACACTTCATAGTATGCGCTGAACACTAAGGTGGCCGACTAACCGACCATTGATAGTAACTCATTAGTAGGCAGAAGTAGTAATATATTCAAGTCATTTCATACATTAAATGGCCACTATGCAACTAATTTCGACGAATATACTCAATATTTCATCAATTAAAGCTTTGAATTGTTCCTCCGAGAAGTTACCGTAACAGAATTTGGGCACCTTTTGTTCCTATTCCGGCTATCTCTCCCAATACAATCTGTCTGATTGCAGTCTTGACACGGCTTGCTACATTTCTTCACTCCATCCACTGCTGCCGGCCCGTTTCCTTTGCAGGTTTCACTGGTTTCACCGTATTTGGAACATGTTCTGCGGGCTCTGCTCTTCTTGGAAGGTACTGAATCTTCCTGTGTTTCCGCTGAATCTCGTGGGTGTTTTCGAGTTGGAGAGGGTCCTACTTTATGTGGAGCAGTTTTTGGGGATGATTTGGGGCGTTCCAGAGCTGTGAATGAAATCCGGGCAACACGGGATAATGTTGAGCCAGATACCCCGAGTGGTGGATCGTGTTCATTCTGGGACAGATATCCGGCGGATGGTTGTGGATCTAGCAGAGTACGAAGAGGTACATGCTCTGGTGCTTTTTGAGTACGCGACTCATGGTGGAGAAGTCGATCATGTTCGGGTTGTCAAATGTCAATGTTGAAAGCCGTGAATGTTGAGCATTGAGATGGGATTTCCACGTTGTATAGTAGACCTTCAAATGCTCTGATATCTGCAACAAATTGAACGAAATGAATCAATTGAAAATAAGATCTAACCTTGTAAAAAATCGTCTTCCCATCTGCACGTGCATTCCACTTTTGTGTGGCGCTATCGAAAAAAATCCGGACCCGAAGGACCGGAAAATGAGATATCATTGTGCATGAAATTGGAGAATAGTTGTCGTTCCTCTGTTGTATGCACTGAAAGCACGGTAAAATGTGCATCTTGCTTTCGAGCAAGATAAGTAAAGCGTTTTGGGCGACTTTGCTCATCATACGCAATGATATGACTCGACAATTTGACGGACTCTGGAATCGGAAGAATTCCAAATACTTCCTTGGTCTGTACATAGAGGTCGCCGTTGACCCAACCAGCGAGTGGCGACGATGAAGGGATCAATTGTTTGATAAGTTCCGAGTTCAATAGACGTTGTCGCCTGTTGGTGAGCCAGAGATCATAATGACCTCGGTAATGTTGTCCAGTCGTATTATAAGTTCCGACCTATGAATTATTAGTGTTAATTTCGAAAAGACTTGTAAGGCAAGGCTTACAATAAGGTTGTGCTTCAGCATGAAATCTTTGAGACGTGTCGAAGTGTGTCTCGGAGAAGCACCACCAATTGGGAGACAGTGCCGTATTGGACGATGAACAGCACCCTCAGTGAAATTTGTGCCGCGGCCACGTGAATATATAGGCAGACCGTTAGAATCAGTTCCCAGACAACTATACAGCTCGACGTCTGGAGGATCTGATATGTATCCACCTTTGATAAGCTCCAGAATGTTCTTTATGGTCTTCCAAGCTGCGGCATTAAAAAGTGGAAGACCTGTTGCAGCGTCCTTGAGAGGGCCATAGAGCTTGAACACTGCAGTAGCAACTGGATATAACTGTTACGGCGGTGGAACCACATGTCGGCAATGTTTCTTGATGAAAGCGGGTTTGGCGCGCAAGCACTCTTCCCAGGTCATGGGTGAGGGTTGTCGAGATAAATAGGCGATTAGTCTCCGCTTGTCTTCAGAGTTTGGGATGAAGATAACCTCGCGAAGGGCTTGAGCAAACGTCACTCGAAGGCCATGAGTCCTTGAAATGTAGATCAACTGAAAAACGTGAAAAATGTCTTTCAAAACACGACTTCGAGTCTCCCCAGGCCAGGGAAGAGAAGCTAATTCGTCAATGATCTCGTTGCACTCCTGAAGTGCTGTATTGTCAACTGTGATATTCTTCAGAGAGACCTCGGTCAGCTCAGTGACATTCACGTCACTGAAGTCAATGCTGACTGGTGCTTTGTGTAAATCTAGAATAATCGGGTCCTCAGGATGCTGAATTTCAGTAGATAAAGAAGAGCCTGATGCTGTTGAATCCATCGTCGAATCACTGGGATGTGGAGGACAGAAACTCGGAACGTAAGTCTTGATGCGTGATTTGAGACAAACAATACTGAAGTCCCGAGTACCGAAATCTGCAAGGGATCAATTGTGATGAGTGGTGATTATTGCTCCACGAACATAAACTTCCGTGATGTCGATGACCGTTCGAGTTGAAGTAACTTTGATTGTGTGAACAGTCGTGTAAAGTGTTTTGGGTGAAATGGTCCCCTTTGCGATAATCGTAGTACGATCATCCTGAAGTACAAATACTTCAAGACCGATCGGTGGAGAACCAAGAGGAAAATCGACTGGAGAAGGTGACTCAAGTTTGATGAGCTGCTGATAAACTCGAAGCGAGATCCAGGCATCGAGTGCCGCATATTGCTGCTGAGCATCGCTAAGCTCCTCGTTGCCCCATTCCATTCCAACTCGGATATCATTGGGTTTTTCAAGGTTCTCCTTGAGAACCTTAGCACAGTCAGCCAAGCCAACCTTTGCACTCTTCACAACTCCCTTTTCTTACAAACCTGAAATATCCAAACATGATCATCATATGCAATCTGCAGAATTGCAGTCTGTCGACGATCAGGTATTCCTTGTTGACGAGAAACCATATCGACATTCCATTCCAAGTCAAGGCCAATTATCAATCTGCCATTCTCGTCTTTGGGTAGACGTTCCACCAGAGTTAGAGCAGCATCTTGCATCTGGGTTACAGTCGAAAGTACTGTAATGGGAGCTGTGATCATCGCTGGAGAGAGATTATTGGATGCGGATATTGGAATCATATTCTGCAGAAGGGAAGGAAAGCTCTCTTCAAGCATCCGTTTATCGCCCCGGAGATTATTAGTATAAAAGACTCGAGGCTTTGGAAGACCATAGATGTTGAAAGACTCATTCATTTGTGCCAAATGATCAGTGAACTGGGAATGTGCTTTGGTCGGAACAAGGTCACAGACTCGAATCTGGCCTTTTCCATTCGTAACCGTGAGCAGTGCATCAAAGACCCCAATATGTTTCACGATCTGGATTTAAAGTAAGTCTGAATGTCACTGAGAACTTTCAAGATAGTTTGAAACAGACCTTGTGACTGTGATCAATCGCATATATATCAGAGCCAAGAGTCGAAGTATGCTGGTCAAACTCTTTCTCGTGTGACTCGATTACGAGTCCACGTGAGTGGCTCGTTTGTTGGGACGGAGCAATTTTAAGACCTAAACCATCAAAGAGCCCAATGGGGAAGTCCACATGATGATGTTTCCCACTGACACGGCAATGGCCGGTG